CATGATGAACACATTTCATTTAAAAAAAAAAAAAACTATTCATACCCAATTTTTTTCAAATAATTTGCCTTAAATTAACCTTAATGATATGATTTTTTGTGAGTATTTTATATAAATTTAGATAAAATTTATCGATCCAACCTCATTATAAGCCACAAACATGTAATCAATAATTTAAAGTAACTCTTATGGGTATCTTTGAGTGTAATCAACCATGATGAACACATTTCATTTAAAAAAAAAAAAAAAAACTAATCATACCCATTTTTTTTTTCAAATAATTTGCCTTAAATTAATCTTAATGATATGAATTTTTGTGAGTATTTTATATAAATTTAGATAAATTTATCGATCCAACCTCATTGAATTTATTTGCTTATCTCTTTTTATGAAATCTTCTATACAAACAGAAAATTTTTATTTATCACCTTTCTCCCTAATTAAAAAATTAGGTTTGTGTTAAGAAAAATTTTCCATTATTATCTTTTAATTTAGGCTTAGTTTAAAATAAGGGTTATCTCTATGTATTAGATTTAGGATGTTGTGTTTAGTTATTTTAAATCCTCAATTGATCAATTGAGGTGGTGGTTAAACTAATTTGGCTTGAAAATGTTCTTAGATCCATAGGATTTCAAACAAATAAAATGGGTTAGGTAAGCTTATAGCTAATTAAGCTAGTACATAGGACAAATTGACTCAATCAAGATGCTGTCACAATTAGATCTATTTTATGGGTTAATCTTAGTTGATTTGCCTGATTGATTGAAATAGCTTTAACGAGTTAAATAGGTTTATATGTTTTTTTCAAATTTCTAAATAGGGTCAATTGGGCTCAATTGACAACATTAATAGTCAATGTGGTCCAACTTGGATTTGTTTAACTTATTTAGATTAATTAGATGGCTTATGTAAGTTCAATTTAGGTTGGCCCTTTCAACAATTAGCCATGACTTTGTTATGATTAGTCAACTTAATATGAGGGTTAGCTTGAGCTAATTTAGTCTAATTAGTCAAAATAGCCTTCAGGATTTAATTGAGGTTCAAGGAACTACTTGGCTCAATCAAGATATAATTGGGCGTAACTAGTCTTTAATTGATTTATTGTTATTTAATAAATTCAATATATATATATATATATAATTTTTTTAATACTTTTAGGAAAGCAACGTATTACAATTCCTTGATCATAAAGGACAGATCTAATAGTATAGAGTCTCGATCCATGTGTCTTAAGTTCTTTTCTTATCTGAGATTCATAAGGAAATAGATCAAACGAAACAATTTTTTAATGGGCGGAATATGAACTGCGTAGCCTCACTCAAGCCCAGCTTGTTATGTATATATACCAGGCTGGTTATATATATATGAATCGGCCTGTATCCCCCTCTCAAGACAAAGGTGGCGAGAGGAAAGCGGAGAACCGATGGAATTAACAGCAACCCCGCCGCTAGGAGCCAACCAACCAGAGAAAATCCACGCCCGCCCAACTCCTATCGCCCTCCTCCCTTTCCTTCTATACAAAGAACTACAGAAGAAGAACCGTTTGCATCAGTACTGCTTTAAATTTCCAAGGAAGCAATCCACAAGCCGTCGCCCGGCGGCTAATGGGCGGGTGCTACTCCTCCCCTTCCATAACCACCACTCGCCCCCCTCCCAAATCCCTCTTCCTCCTCCCCTCCACCGCCGACTCCGATGACGAAACCGAAATCCCTTCCCGCTGCTCCTCCATGGTCGCCCCCATTTCCCCGAAGTCCCCTGTGTCCGTCCTTTCTAACCCTGCCTCCATCGTCGATTTCCACCGCCAATACCGCCTCGGCCGCGAGCTAGGCCGAGGTGAATTTGGCGTGACGCGTCTCTGCTCCGACGTCGAGACAGGCAGGGCTTTGGCTTGCAAGACAATTTCGAAGCGGCGATTGCGGAGCGCTGTAGATGTTGCTGATGTCCGGCGGGAGGTGGAAATCATGCGCCATTTGCCGCCTCACCCTAACCTGGTAAGGTTCGTCGATGCATACGAGGATCAGGACTCTGTCCATCTTGTTATGGAGTTATGTGAGGGTGGGGAGCTCTTCGACCGTATTGTTGCTCGCGGCCATTACTCCGAGAGGGCAGCGGCGATTGTTGTCAATACTATTATGGAGGTTGTCCAGGTACGTATTTCATGCGTTGGTATAGAACTAATGCCTTGAGTTATTGCATGATTGATGTTTAACAATATTTTCCTATGGAGAATTTATATATATATAATGACAATAAGGTTAAATGTGGTTATCAAATAGCTTGCTTGCTAAATATCTTTTAAGTTATCAAGGATTTAAATTTTGAATCACGCACACATCAGATTATGCATTTGCACTCATCATTTTTTATGACATTTGAGTTGAATGCTAGATCTATCCAAAGATTTGAAGTGGATGGCTTAAGAAATGTGAATACATCAATATAATAGATTACATAAATTGAACATAATTATTGAGTAGAGTGAAATCTTTCATATCTTAAATTTTGTAAGGTTTGAGGTCTGTAATTTTTTTTTTCACGCTTTTTTAGATTTCTTCCTCTCTCTTTTAGGGAAATCACCCCATGCTCTAAACGAATCTTTCTATCTACATCAATGGGTATAATAATGCTTGAAATTTATCTTCTTTTTACATGTGCCAATATAGACGGAGTAGATCATTGAAGTGAATGGAAAGTGGTAGAATTTAATAATATATGTTTTTCATTTACTCTTTTATTTATTAGTAGAGGCTGTTGAAATCATTAGGCGTTGGAGCATTAAGCACTATCAACCTTCTCTTATCAAGAAGATTAATTATTAAGTAAAGGATCATCATAATAAATAAATAAATAATCTTATCAAGAAGATTAATTATTAAGTAAAGGATCATTATAATAAATAAATAAATAATTAATTAATTAATTAAAGGGTCATCATGGCAATGGGTCTATGTTCAATATATTGAACATGGGACTAATAACCATCCCATTAGACTATTCAATTTGGTGTGTACTTTGTTTGCATGGACCAATCTTCCTATATGTGACCTTGTGGTAGGTGTTGGTGGCCTCTCCTTGCATAGATAAAACCATCAACGAAGACTCATTTATTGTACTTCAAGTGTTGATAGTGTGCATCAGCATGCTTCTTTGTATAGTTCTTGAGTTATTCTTTCTTGTTATTTTAATTCATTGGTGTTACTTGTTAGCTCACCTTTAAAATGACCTCTTATAATACAAGGAATTCACACACGATTTATGGTATGCTTAGGGTTACTTTCATAGACCATTTCAAATGGGGTAATTTGGATTGGGTTGATTATCATCTTGAGTTATAGAAGAACTTGGCTTGAGCTATGGTGCTGCCCCAATACCTCATATATTCACTGATTAGCATTGAAGTTTATCACCAAGGGATTGGTTGATATCCTCAATTTGCCTGTTGATATGGGGTTTATGGGTACTTAGTATTGAATGGGAGTTAAGTATCAAGGATTCTTTATAGTGTACTTGAAAAATGGTACAAAGACTACATCTTGATCCAACATGATGACTTTGGTAGGTAATCTCCTTGAAGAAAAATATTGCAACATTGGAAACATAGTGATCCTAAAAATATAATCAACAATTGCTATGATATACTTTAATTGTTATGAGTGC